CCTCGAATAAGCGCCCCCCTCTCCTGCCCCCATATTTTGGACCAGTAATGAGACAACAAAGGATGTATAGTTTTCGTCGTGTAGTATTAGATTTGTACAATATTTCAGTTTCAGATTTACAAGTACTAACGGTGCCGCCATTTAAACTTTAGGATCAACTTTTTATGTCGATAAACAGCTCATGTTGTTGTTTAAGCGCAGATGATGGATTAAAAAAATGATCATGTCAGTCAAAGGTTTGGCAAAATTAAATAAGCGCCCCCATTCGATAAAGCGCCCCTCTCGAATAAGCGCTAATTCGAGGATTTACGGTACTTGAAATTAAAGGGTTCGGTAAATCGAAACGTCTTTAATATACCTGGGCTCTTTTCTTGAGGTTTTCGTTTTCTTCATCCGGCATATCTTCTTTATATTCTTTCATCAAGCCCTGTCCATCGTCTATCCAGACATTAACGGAGTCCATCAGGTCGTACATCTCCTTCATTTTATTTTGCGCATTAATTAACTGCAAAAAAGTAATAATAATAATATATAATTAAAAAATACTCGCTCAAACAACCACATCATGCAAAAATGTATATTAGTTAACTGCTGAAACAAGAGTTCAAGCCAATCATATTTTAATAGAAATGTGTTGCTAGCTAGATGACTAGTTTTTTTGCCTTTTTTATTCTCCATTGGCGAGTATCAACAAATATGTTAAATTGAAAAAATATCTTAAGTGCAAGGAGCGCACGGCTGAAAAATCACTGACATTCCTAACATCTAAGGCCAGAGGAAGGAATTAAATGAAACGTTTGTTGGATATTGTTGTTCACCCAGACATGCTAAGACACGATTAAAATCAATTTTGTACCGGTTCTGATATTTCTAAAACTTTGGAAAGCTAAGATCGCCGTTCCAAGCTGACGGACCTTTTGAAATGTGACCACGTTTACGCATGATATTAATACAGTAAGTATAAGTAATATCAAAACCTTTTCCTTTTCATCAATGACCCTTTTGGCCACTTGGTTCCAGCAGTCGTCAAAATCTTGCAACTGAGCTTTGATGTCCTTGGTCGTTTCTTTATCATGATCAGATTCCTCAATGAGAGCTTCCCCTAAATGACGAAGTTTTTGCAATCTCTGCTCTTGTTCTTCGAGTTCCTTTTGAGTGGCCTGTTGGTACAGGTAAAAAGACGCAGGTTATAATTCAGCTGTGGAGGCGCGGTGGCTTCATGGTTAGTGCGCTCGACCCCTGATCGAGCGGTCCGGGCCGGGGATATTGTGTTTTGCGGCTTGGGCAGGACACTTTGTCTTTACAGTGCCTATCTTCACCGTGGTGTACAAACAGATACCGGCAAATTTAATGCTGGGAGTAACCCTGCAATGGACTAAAATCTTATCCAGGGGGAGTAGCAATACTCTTAGTCACTTCATGCTACAGAAGACGAAACCGGGAATGATAAGCTCCGGCCCGATGGGCCTCTTGGTTGGTATGCAGACTTTTTTTATAATTCAGATGTACTTGTGTTAGGCTCTCCGATTAAAAACGAATTACTTTCAATTGTCGATGTTCTGATACTCCAAATGCAGCAAAGTATTCCAATGATTTCTGAATTTTACAATGTATTATAGGTATATTTTGTTCAGTTGCTCTTAATTCATTGGCTTATCTTAAAACTTACTCATGCTCCAATCGATTTCGAACAGACAGTATAGTGGCGTCATGCAAGCAAATCACTCGTTTTCGGCCTTACAAGCTCTAGAAGAGTTTTGCAAATGATAAAGTTACTCGACGTTGCAAAATATATTTCCAAATCAATAAAATAGTCGATTGACTGATTGATTGCGTGATTGATCGATTGGTTAGAAAGAGTTTCTTGAGGGTATAATACATTTTATACTTCATGGAACTCTCAATTCAAATCAGTATTTTTTTTTTTTTTCTTAATGGTTTACTAGTCTGATTATTAAGCCTTTAACAGAATTTGAAAAAGGGTACATTTTCTAATTTTGTCGCTGGGGCAGAAACTACGCATTAATTTCTTTATAATCGCGCTCATTCTAAACTAAGCATTACCTCAAGAAGTTCTAGGCTTTCTTTGACCTGTTCTTCGTCGGCAACATCCGTGTTTGCTACTTGCTTGAGTGTTTTCTCTTTCTGGCTCAGCCAGTTCAGCAAAATAAGCTCCTCATCTCGAAATTTCTGCCAGTCAATCATAGCCTTTGTCAACTTTTGGCCTCGATCTGCGCTCCAGTTCCATGCTTTAGCCCACCGGCTGCTGACGTCTTTGACTTTGTCCCGTGTTTTGCCATCCAAGTCTGGGTCAGATAAATCAGTTGCCAACACCGACGCTACCAAGGAGATGTCTCCAACTTCTTCTTGGAATTTCTGTTAGTAAAAATTAAACTTCAGTCAGGTCTTTCTGAAACCAAATCGTATTCCACATTGGTTTTTCAATGAAAGTCAACGGTTCAAATCTCAAAGACAAGGAAAGGCCGTTGATGATATGGTATACATGAGTACAATTCTCTTCAGTAAACTAACAGTTACTGGACGAAGTTGAGCAAAATATCGTGATTTGTCGTTTCCAAAGACAGAGGAAAATAAATGTCATATCGCTAACATGCCATGGCATTTCGCAATAACTGACTTAAACAACTGGTTTCCGTTAATAGACCAATTTCGATATATTAAAATTCAGCCTAACACAATAGACCTCAGCACGAGGCTCTGGGGAATAAACCCCACAAACTCTGTAGTTATTCCCCAGAGCCTCGCACTGTGGTCTATTATTTTAGGCTGAATTTTAATATATCGAAATTGGTCTATTACCTGTACAAATTTCAAGTGGCTCAGTGATAGCTCTCGATTTTCACTGAGCATCATAAACAGGCCTAGGCTAGAATGTTTAAGATTACTTTTTTCACCTGACTTAAGTTTTTAGACTTACCAGGTATTTATCATAATTGATAATTCAACACCTTATGTGTACGTAGTTGTTACCTGATGATCCTCCAACTTCGTCTTAACAGCCTCATAGTTAGGACCAAGACTATTTCCTTGCTTCATCTTCCGCTCAGCCTTAGTCAGCCAGCTGTTCATTCGAGCCAACTGTTGCTTTAAAAGGACTGATCTTTCTAAAGCAAGCCTACGATCAAGTAAAGATATCAGATTATCTATTTGCTTGAAACGATCCACAGCTAACTTTATCTTTTTGGAGGTTAACTACTTAACTACTTAACTATCTTATGATTCAGCAAACTATTAACCAATATTCCTTTCCGCTTCCCTTTTCTCCTCCTTTTTAGAGAATCGGTTTAGCTTCGTTTCAGTCAATACTTAAGATATAAGAATATCATTACATTGCAGTTTACTTTTAAGTTGTATCAGATGCGTATTTATATTTATAGTTTTTGGATGAATATCTGGTAGCCGCACCAACACAGTCGGGGGGATTTTTATTTGCTTACTGTTTTGAGTAGTCTGAATAAGTCAATAGTTCTACGAGCTATAGAAAAGTTGGTAACCTGCCAGGTTAAGCAGAAGTTACGTTGGCCCATAATGTATGTGACGTGTATCGTAAGGAAAACAAAACATCAGTTATTCCTGCGTGGCAGTTCCATGATCATTCACTTGTCTTGAATTATTTCTCTTAGGTTCAAACATGCACTGTGTGATCTTTCATGTACTCTCTTGCAAACTGAACTCCTTCGTTCCTTACAGCGCATTATTCTAAATGAAAGAATTTCCTTGACAATGGACATAGTCTAGTTATAATTGTCCAGTCGTTAAGATGTACAACAGTTTTGACGAACAACAGCACAGTAAAACATTCTAGGATAATACACGAGCTGTGAAGCTATGGAGAGATTTGACTCACTTGTCTTGATCCCTTTGAGAATGTTCCAGAAGGTTCTGCATTCTTTTGTCGACATTATTCATTCTGTCTTGAAAGTGTTCTTCTTCCCCTTTGTCAAAGTACCCTTCGCCTATCATGGCTCTACCCTCATTTAACACTTCATATGTACGAGACTTCAGGGGCTCGAGATCCTCACGAAACTTCTGTTAAGCAATATTACAAAAATCCTTACTGAGAACGTATTGCAAAAGCAGTACTGATTTTGGCTACGAAATTATTGTCTGAGATGACACAGCGTAGATGGAGATCATTGTACAATTGTAAGGATCCGTTACTCAAAATCGACGTCGTTTTCGACTTTCACAGTATATGGAACAAAAGACTAACTTTTTTAAAGAAGAAAACCTGAAAAACGTTGAGCACGATTACGGTTGACGCCAACAGTCGGGTAACAACGCCAGCAACTCGGCGTTCCCGCCAACCCCGCCTTTCTCCATTCTACTTCCTCCACGAAATGAGACAGGACTCCTGAGAACTCCATCTACACTGCAAGGGTAACTTAGAATTTTTTACTAACTGGAACTTCTTATGCTTCAAAGATATTTTTATAATGTTCTCATGACATACAGGTAAAAACTCAGGAACCAATTAGATAACGATGTCTTCGAAGAATAACACCATGCTGAAACAAAGCAGATCAGGCTTACTAACATCATTAATTCTGTATTGGACATTTCAGTTTGAGCGAGATGAAGTGGAAGGTAGTGGATCAGATGGAATCTCTCAAAATTAGGAGGCAACTACCAGATGGATCTTCTTGACAAATCCTTTACCTTCTGCTCTTCCAGCTGCTTTATCGCTGTCTCTAAATCCACAGAATCTTTCTCTTTGAACACAGGTTTGCGGTGCTCTGCATCGGACAGTCCGCTCTCCACTTCATTTAAATTCTTGTTTAGTTGAGCAACAGCCTTATCACGCTCCGATTTACTACAAAAGCAAAACACTTTATTTTTATAGAATATTATACCTAATGTAACTATCCATTATAAATAAAAATCTAAGATGGCGGAACTAAGGTTCTCATGTAACGTATTCGACGTCATAATCAACAAAAAATACTTGTAGGAGGCTGAAGGCTAGCTAGCTATTCTTAGCAAACAAACCTCCCTTTGTGCCACGGTTAGGGTACGAGTTTGTAAGTCCAAGGTCCGAGGTCATCGAGCGTGCATTGGGCTAGCTTTATCGCTTAATCTTTTGTACGCGAGTGGTCTAAATATGCAGACGTCTATAGCAGGAGATCTAAACATCTAATTTGACTTCCCCCTGATCACTTTTTTAGTTCAACAGTTCCTGAAGAAATTGCGCCTCACCCCAGGCTTTATTTTCCTTAATTCAAATGACCATTTGTACATATTCATTTTACCTGATGGCCGGTTTACTATCCAGCTGGTCCCAGCTATCATTAAGAGCTCCCTCGACAGCTTCCAGACTATCAATAGTGACGGTCAGCTCGTTGACAGCTGAAGCTTTCTGTTGAAAAAGAGATCTTTTCAATAAAGCCAGGCAGGCAGCTATTTTTCAACTGTTTTGACTCTTGCATCACGTTAATGCAAGAAGCAAGAGAAATGATCTTGAACGGTACATGTTGCACTTCTCCAAGCAAAAGAGAACTGTACATGTGTGGCGGCCATGCATGTGGTCAACGATTCAGACAGGGATTACATACCCGCTCCTTAGCCTTGTTTCCCTCCAGGTAATTGTACAGCTCTGTTAAGTACATGATTATTAGCTTCTTGTCGGGGGTATCGACATCAATATCTGTAAAGTACGCAAAAATATCAATGGTCACTTATGGTAAGACATTATTTTGCTGCCTGCCAAGTCCCATCAGTTTCCTGACTTCGCTTTCTCCCTTCCCTCTTACCAGCACAGCACATGAAAAGCGTGTGACAATAACAATTTCATTGTTTGTCACTGGTTACTGTCTCTTCTATCTGCTAGCATCGATTATATCCTGGTAATATTTTGCTTGTTACATTTTACTTGTAATTGATCTCTTGTGAACTTGTGTTTAAGTAGCAGGTGATGCCACGAAGTATAGCACTGGGTCGGGATCGCTCACGTTGAGGAGGGTACGCTGAGGCAGTACAATTGAGCAAGGGATAGACGCCAACTAATGCCTTGAATGCAAATTTTATTCCAGAATTTGTTCAGGATAAAACAATAAATAAACAAACCTGAAGAGTCAAGGTAGCGAGGAACTCCAAAGTGTTTCTCTGCCATTTTAAAGGAGTTATCCAGCCTCGCTTGAATTGATGATTTTTGCTGGGCATCAAAGTCAAACAATTCAGGTCTATAAAAGAGTACGATTTTATTTTGTTAATAGTTCATTGGATAACATACTATCCCTTACTTTTTTATACTGAATATACACACCGACTAGCGGTCTATTTTGCGTTCGAAACTGAAGGCGAATGAAGGCCACCAGCGACATACCTTAAAACCGTGTGATTTTATTTTAAGAGTATCGAATTCTTGTATGCCGTCATTTCGTAAATTTGAAACATACACACATTTGCGTATGAATATAAGCCATAGTATTTATCTCTGTCGTTAACGATAATTCCGCGGATGAAGAAGGGCTAAACCATAGATATCACGCTATGATTTCTAAAGCACTTTTTCATTTTTGCATTGAAAAAAAATTATTACAAGTAGGTCATTTAATAATTTAAGGAGGTAATCGGTGATTTTAGAAATTTCAGACGGGCTACAGACATTGAATTTGTTGTTTATTCTCCCGTTAACTTACATGTGAACTGACTTTTTTGTTCGGAGGCGGCACATGCAATTTAAGCAAAATTTGAACGTACTGTAGTTGTGCATTTTATCGCCGATTTCGTACCTGTACGAATGGATAAGAGCGTTGAACGCCAGGCCATTTCTCCAGCTCGAGGTAAAATCTGAGATTGTGACATACTGTTCATACCTAATAAAAAATCAAAAGTGAACATGGCTAGAACCGCTAAAAGAGACTATACAATTGTATCTGGAACGTACTCACCCTTTCAGTCGTTCCTTACACCAATCAAGCAGTTTTTTCTCGACGTTGAAGGATTTGGCCGTCTCCTCTGTTACTGTTTCCTGCATTACCTCTTGGACCTATCATTAAGTAAAAATATTATATTCCTTCACCAAGAGAACTTGTTTTTCTCTTGGCTTCACCTCATTCATTTTAGTCAAAATAACATGTAGTTCGCAATTAATCATAAGGATCTTTACGCAGGCAAAAATAATCGTAACGTTATTGTACATGTATTAGTAATACAGGTAAACGACAGAAGATGACTCTAGGGGTCAATTTAATAATACTTTTACACTTGTAATCTACAAATGGAACCATTGTATTTACACGCGCAGACGAAAACGAGTTTAATAAAATTCGTCACAAATCCAGGTTACAAGTGTCTGACTTGTAATTATAGGTGTAGCGCTACACGTATAAAAGATGGTAAGAGTCCAATTTAATAAAACTTTTACAAGAGTCCGGACTTGTATTTTTACAAGAGTCCAACTTGTAAATCACAAGTGGAAATACAAGTCGCATGTCACTTGTAAACATTGAGTACGACTTGTGAAACAGATATTGGAGCGTCAAAACATGTCGTCTTCTAGTGAAGAGCAACTCGACGAGCTCCTGGGACGTCAAATTATCGGTCAACTAGGAATTTTGAAGAAAGAAGGCTTTTTGATATCGACAATCCTAGGGAATTTCGAGGAAAGTTTCGTCTCCCTGTGGATGCCTTCATCCAACTTTTGGAATTTTAAATAGGCCCGCAGATTTTGAAAGGGCAACAGAGATATTAAAATTTGCATTTATAAACACTTGTATCCTGACCTGCGATACACGTGTAAATTCCAGTGTAGAAAATACTTTCGTTGAATCCTTGTATTTACAAGCCGGACTTTACACGTGTAAATTACACGTGTAAAAACTACAAGTGTAATTTATTTACTGAGTTGACACCTGGGTTTACTTTTATATTTGGACAATGTTGATGGCTTGGAAAATCTAATCCTGAATTTTGTTTTAAATGTGCCACTTACTTGGAATCGGAGAATAATGCTCCACATGAGTCCAAGGATTGCACGAGGCTTTCCATCAACGATGTCGAATCCATTGATACCCACCAGTTTTACCTTGAAAAGGATTGTAAACTCGGTTTTTGATGCATATCATAAAATACTGTATAACAGTTTATAAGAGCGCAATTTTCAACCAACACGACTGAAGAGGCTCCCCTCAATTATTTAATTTGTCCGGTTGCAGTAACAAATTTCCAGTGTAATTACTTTAATATGCAGCACGAACGAAAGAATTTGACCAAGGCTCCAGCCCTATGCACTGAACCACTCCATTTGAAATGCAAGGTTCAACTACAAAACGGCCACCGCCCTTTCTCCATTCCCCTCCACCCTCATTAAGTTCATCATAACAAGAAACAAAATCGGCACAAAAACAGATATACCTTGTGTTTCTCGAGTAAATCCATGGCTTGCTCAACATTGTTCAGCTTATGAACACGCATGTTTCCTTTCTCCTTTTTCTAGAAAAAGAAAGCAAAACAACAGCATGAACACTGAAGAGCACTATATGAGGATTTGCCTAGAGTTTAACTGATAGCCGAGAATTGGTCAAAATTGTTAACTCTCAGCTAAGAAGTGAGACGTTTTTAACTAACTGCCGAGATCTGATATCGCAAAATTCCCTGATAGTTTAGAGATGGGCTGAAATTTTAACCATGTTTAACTGATGGCCAAGAATATCACCTCAATTCAGGCTCTCTTATATCATTAAAGGTTTATACTCCTGCCTACTTAA